AATTCCATAATGAAATTTGGTTCATCAAATTTATGCCTTATTATTAAAATAAATAATAGATCCTTCATTATTTGTAAGTTTTGTTGGCTTATTCAATAGCTGATGAAGTACTTCACAAAAAATACGCGAGTTGTCAGTGTATGTAATTTGGCGAAAGAATACACCACAATATTCTTGAACGCACTTTTCGAAATGTATTATGTACATGTACCTATCTTGTGTGATCATGATAGTATGACCGGCGGGGGGAGAGGGGTTTAATCATACGATATTTAGTTGCCTACCCTGTCTCGAAAACCTGTGCACGCCACTGGTGGAACTTCGTGGAGCACTTCCGACGTTTGGCTCCAAAGTTGGCGAGGGCGGGGGCTGCGTTTAAGCGCATCCTCCCCAACCTCGGGGGGCCAAACGCCTCCTGCCGGAGGTTATACGCCGGGGTCGTGCGGTCCATGGCCCTGTACGGCGCCCCTGTTTGGGCGCCTAACTTGTTGCGGCGATACGACGTGCAGGAGAAGGAACGGGGTGGTTTTTAGCCAGTAAGAGCCTGACACTCCTTCCCGCCTCACCCAGGCGGGAGCAGTCATTCGATGATTTTCCCCCCTTAAAAAAAAAGCCTACAAATGACAAATGCTTACATTTTGCTTAGAAAAATAAAAACTCCACGAAGCGGCCACGTTAAATCTGCCCATCGTTATTTGACGGTTTCATGCATTCGTCACGTAACGCGTCGTAGACGTGAGATTACCGTGGTAGAATGTATTTCGTCAAGAATTGGGATGATGACAGTGTATGAAAATTAAAAATCTAATTAGTCCATAAGTTAGGTTATGAAAATTTGTTAGACACGTATTTTTTTATTTTGTCATATAATAAAACAATACTTAGATAAAACGAATCAAAGTTTAGGAGTGGGGGCTAAAACGTCATTTCTACAAATAAAGTGTGCATAGAAGTGACGTCACGCGACATTTGAAATCAATATGTCGTCGAAAGTATTCGTTTCTGTAAGAAAATAAAAATGCGTGTGTAATGTTTTAAAATAATCTACCAGATGGACATTAAAATAAAAATTTGTCGTCCACCCTATTGTCTAATGTGACCGAAGTGATACCACGACCTCAGAGAATATCGGCTTGAAACAACTGCTGCGTTATATTTCACCGAGTGGGTACCAGAGACACAACCTTCCACTCCCAATGCACTAATACCTTATCTGAAATCCCCAAAAGGCACCGCACTCGTAACTCCTCTGGTGTTCCAGGCGTCCAAGGGCGGCGCTAATTGCTTACCATCAGGTGATCCGTCTTCTCGTTTTCTTTCTAGTTACAAAAAAAAAAAACAAATACTTACTAATTTCTTGTGTGGGTTTGTCACGTATTTGTGTAAATTGATTGACTATTCTTTCTATGCCCAAACCGTCGTCCTTATTATAAATCTTGTGTTGGACACAACAAACATATCTGTTGAGTGGTTCACTCTGCCTACTCCAACTTTCAATGTTATTTGCGTAAATCGTCAACTTTGAACTGTTATCATACAAAACGCCGACTTTGCTGTTAGCTGTGAATTTAAAACACCAAAGCAATAAATAATACGTATAAGATTTTTAACGAATGGTGATATATTAAAGAACGGCCCAAAATGTGGGAGAGCCATGCTTCGGCATGAATGAGCCGGCTCGACCGGAGTGATACCACGGCCTCACAGAAGACCGACGTGAAGCAACGCTTGCGTTGTGTTTCATCGTGTGAGTGAGGTTACTGGCTGCCCAATTACCTCCCCTCCCTTTCCCCAATCTCTGAATCCCCAACAATCCTGAAATTCCTAATTCCAAAAGGCCGGTAACGCACTTGTAACGCCTCTGGTGTTCCAGGTGTGCATGGGCGACGCCGATTGCTTACCATCAGGTGATCCGTCCGCTCGTTTACCGGCTTATGCCATAAAAAAGTACCTTTAACCGACGAGCATGCATGAAAAGATTGATGACTGTTGATGAAATGAAAGAGGTATGTAGTAATCGTAGCAATATTGGCGGTTATAATCTCAGCCTATCCCCATGGGAGACAGGCGTGAGGTTATGTATGTATGGGTATTAACATGTTTTACAGTACATCTTTTTTGTCTAAATCGAGTTCGTTAATGATACTTAATAGCTGGAACAAATTTGACCAGTGGTTTTCCGGTAGGTATATCCGTATTGCCGTTACCATAAAAATTTTCGTTTTTCGATCCGTAAGTATCATAATATATTACAAAAATGTCTTATGTACATTGTACACTTTGTAACTGAGCTGGTGTTGCGGGTGTCCATTGGCAGCGCCGATTGCTTACCATGAGGTATGATGATCTTCCATGAAAAATATGCGTAACAAAATTTTACGAATCTCACCATCTCTACAGGTAAACGTGTAGGTAGTATTTTTCTTATCAATATACAATGTCTCAATCTCGTAATCCTCTGTAAGAAACGTTCATAATATTATTAAACAAGCCCCGCCAGGCAGGGCTCCTAATTCTGCGTAAAGACTATAAAGGGCTGCCTCGTTGGCAGAGTTGTCGCAAGTGCCACTGCCGGGCAAGGGGTCTCGGGTTCAAATCCCGGGTCGGGCAATGTATTGTGGCGGCACATGTCAAACGACTACTCACACACATAGATGAAAATAAATCAACAGATGATGCCACGAAATCCAACATCGCACATTTAAAGTTTAAGTACATGCGAATTAACACGGATAGAAAATCCCAAAGAACAACTGTTGGGCAGAAAGCCCGCCAGGCACGATCACCTCGCCTGGTCGGAGGATCCTCCTTTTCCTATCTTAGGGAACTATACTCTCTATTCCCTAAAGAGTTACTGAGATTTTTTAAATTCTCAGTAGTAGCACGGAGCCTGGAGTTGTGCCCGGTATATGGCAATGGCAATAGGCTCATCTCCTAACATAAACAGTGAAAAGTGGGTGTTACATTGTACAGTGGTATCAAGTGCGGCAATGTACATCTCTGTCTCCACCTGCGGGGTAAAAGGCGTGATTTTATGTTATGTTATGTTACTATAAACCACCCAACCAAAACAGGGTTTTTTTTTTAATAAATAAAAATTGAATTTCTCCACGGACTCGCGTCCGTGCCCTTGTCATATTACAAGTACATACTTTCTATGGTCAAATATTTTTTTTTTTATAAAGATCTTACATGCTACGCCTACCACTATACTACACACAATACACTATATATATATACACTATACTATACCAAAACAGGGAGATACCCTCATACCCTCTAGACATAGACGACTTTGGTTGACTCTTGACTCTATATAGGTACTTAAAAAATCTAAACTAATCCTTACTTTTATTGTTAGGTGTCACTTTTAGGTTGGTGATGACAAAAATATTAACTGTCACCTATCGTGGGTAATAGGTTCCTTTAAATTTAGGAGAGGTTGGGGAAACGGCAACGATCAACAATTGGGTAGTTTCCAGGGTAATGAAAAAATATTAGACACGTCTTTTTTTTCTCGTATTAAGTTACAATAATAATAGATAAAATGGCGCTAAGTTTAGGAGAGGGAGGTCGTTACGTCATAACGTGCTACAAAATGTGACACGCTGTGACGTCACACTTTGTTGAAATTAATAACATAACATAACATAACATCACGCCTTTTATCCCCGAAGGAGTAGGCGGAGGTGTACATTATGCCACTGTACAATGTAGAGGTGTACATTATGCCACTGTACAATGTAACACCCACTTTTCACTATTTATGTTATGAGTCCCATGTAATAGGGGGTGAGCCTATTGTTGAAATTAATATATCGTCGAAAGTATTTAATTTTGTGTGAAAAGAAAAAATCCGTCCCTAAAGTTTTAAAATTAATGTACCAGACGGACATTACAATAAAATTTAGGAAACTACCCGATTTTATTGAATTACAAACTTTCAATCTATTCTACTAATTACCAGCTTCATCCACCGGTATTGACACGGTGTAATATTTCTTTGAAAATGTCGATTTCATCGAGACCTCAGAGTTGTTGTCGAATTTGTAAATTTTCATTTTTATATAACTTGTCCCGTTCACTTTAGTCTGAAGTCCAAAATAACGACCTGAAAATCAAAGATAATTGGGATGATGACTTGATGACAGAGTATGAAAATTAAAAATATAATTAGTCCGTCAGTTAGGTAATGAAAAAATATTAGACACGTATTTTTTTATTTTGTCGCATAATAAAACAATACTTAGATAAAACTAATTAAAAATTTAGGAGTGGGGGCTAAAACGTCACGTTTCTACGTATAAAATGTACTAGAAGTGATGTCACGCGTCATTTTAAATCAATATAGTATATCGTCGAAAGTATTTGTTTCTGTAAGAAAATAAAAAATACGTGTCTAATGATTTAAAATAATCTACCAGACGGACATTAAAATAAAAATTAGGCATCTGCCCTATTGGAGACACATCTACTTTACAGTTAGCATAATCTATTGAATCTAATTTTTTCCACAACTATTTCTGTCATGGATATCAAACGAAAGGGATTACCCCTTGGTAATATAAAGTTCAGTGAAACAGTTAATAATTATGTGAATTACCTTTATGTTCTATATATTGCTGAGACCATGTCACCTCGGAACGCTCAATGTTACCAGAGAAACAGATTAATGTCTTCTCTTTTATATTACATTCCAAACGCGAATCTGTAAATACAATAATTCTTTTATAATATACATTTAAAAAAAACTGACTTCAACCCCCCTTTTAAGGTGCTTCCTCACCGGGAGCATTCGCGTGTAATGTAACGTTACAGATCTGAGCATTACATCAGTGGAGGAGGAGAACCGAGCATTATAATGCGCACCTTGTAATGATACAATGTGTAATATCTTGATACAACTTGTAACATCAATGCACTTTACTTTCCCCAGCCGCCCGCCCGCTTCGTCTGACATCTTGCTATGAAATGCTCAAAGTCAAATCAATATGTTACATTACACGCAAATGCTCGTTAGTCAGGGAGGTATTATTGTAATGTAATGCCCAAAGTCAAATCTATAATGTTACATTACACGTGAATGCACCAATGTCGGTTTTAAGTCGGTCACTTATCTGAAACCCGCAACAAAATTCAAAAGGTTCAGACAATCGCGACCCGAACTAACAACCTCCTGTTTTTGAAGTCTGTAAAAATAACCTTAAAACCCCTTTTCATTGAGCGGAGCAAAACATCCAATGACTAGAGAGGGAGTGTCAGACTCTTACTGACTAAAAACCACCCCGTTCCTACTCCTGTTCTTCGAGCCGGAGCCCCGGTAACCCGTTAAGCCCTCCGCGGCTCTGTATCGGCATCAGCCTTATTGAGCCCCATCTGTGATGGTCTGATGGCTCTATGAGGCGCGTGCGGAACGCGACGCGCCGGACGCTTGGGTCTGGTTCTGGTCGGGCGGTGAGACACCCGTGCTCGCCGTCCGCAGGCCAGTGCTCTCGGTAACCTTAAAGTACTGTGGTAGTATCTGTCGCTTTCCGTCGTCCGTCGTTCATCATCAGCATCGTATCCAGATATAAGACGTCCACTGCTGACCATAGGCCTCTCCAAAGACTTCCAGAAATGCCGGTTGGAAGCGACCAGCGTCTGTCCTTATTTAATATTCAATCTTTTAAACCCGATTGTCGTATCAAATTTGGTCCTCTTTGTCCAAAATGAGAATGTTTAATTTTCAATGACGTTTAGGACAGAATTGAGCTGAATTGTTCAAAGGCTGCTCGCTATGTGCTGCTTATTCTGCACCAACTAACTCTACAAAAAACAGGAACAAAGTTGAATCATACCTTTACATGTGTTCTTGAAATCTACTTCTATTGAACAGTATCTTTTATCATAATTCATCAAACATTGTCGCTCGAATTCAGATCGTTCTGAAATAATAAACACTGAACATTAGGTCTACACTTAATTTAACTTTTGGGACAGTCAGCTATTTGACCTAAAAACATTAATATATTTCTCTTCTCTTTATTAAAATATAGTCTTTAAATCTAAGGGGATTATGCCAGACTCATCGTGACCATGATAATTACTGGAGTAGCGAGAAGTATTAGGATCTGTCCAAACTACAAACAATCTTAACAGCACCGTCACAGTGTGGATTGGACAAAATGGGCTGAAAAGCACCTATATCTGCAACATTAATGTTCAATTACTGAATCAATATTTCTCTCTCTCTCTCTCTCTCTCTCTCTCTCTCTCTTATATCGGACACATTCCAGTAACAAGTGTTGGACACGCAGAAATATTAAAAAAGGAGAAGTGGCAAGGGAGCGTGTCGGTTACGCTCGCACTTGAGCGTTCCGCTCAATGTTAGAAAATATGGCCGTCATCGCGAGTTAGTCTGTTGTCACCGGCGATCGTACAATAAACGATAAAATACCGTGGTTTCGTGCAGAAATATAAGCCAAAACAAAAACTGTAGAAATTCATTCTTTATTATATCTGTAGTTGGAAATCTTTAATTACTCCGCATGCATCACAGTTCGTACTGCTTGTTTTCCTCATTGGGAAACCGAAATGGTTGAGAGGAATGTGTCCAGACTCTAATCTATGCGCAGTAGGGAATCCATACTAACCATACTAATAAAAGTACCCCCCCCCCATGATTTTTGTGTTACTCTTGATGTCTTTCAAAGACCGATCTAGAGCTACAATTGCTCTTTACATGGTACACTCATCCCAAACTAATAATTGACATTGCTGCAACATACGTCCACGGTCGCTGTTTTTACTTATATTACAGACTGACATTTCTTCAAGGGCTAAGTATAATGGCGATTAAAACACCGAATGTGCCATTCAACCACCATTAAACTGTCAAACACCAAGCTATCACCGGTAACCGCAACCTATTGTTCTATAATTGTGTCTATAATGACGGTACTTGACGAGTTAAGCAGAGTGGCGGCTATTCCGGAAGAGGCAACTGATACAGCTACGATCACGCTAGATATCCGCGGGAATGAGGTATTTTCCCGCCGTAAAAAGTAGCCTGTATCCGTGCCTAGGATCTTATCTTTAAATTAACCAAGCCTTATAAAAATCCGTTCAGACGTTAAGGGGTGAATGAGGTAAACTTTTAAAACAAACGATTAAAAATCATTAACTTTATTGGTTTTCTGCCTACTGCCTATGCCTTAAGTATGACTACGATAGCATAAATATTAATAGACCATATCCTTTTCTAGGTTCTAACCTAACTAAATTTCATCAAAATCCGTTCAGCTGGCATGATAGAGCAAAACTCCCAGCAAAAAACCATAAAAAAATCCCTAACTCAATTCAGGTTTTTGCCTGCTTCCTACCCCCTAAGTACGATGACGTGATTATTTTGATCTTATATCCGTTTTTTGGTAACCATCTATTACCTTACTAAATTTCATCAAAATCCGATCAGCCGTTTAGACGTGACCTTTCACGTCTAAAAATCGGTAAAAGTCTCAACAAAAAAGACTAAAAATCATTAACTCAATTTAGTTATCTGCCTACTGCCTACCCCCTAAAAACGATGGCGTAATTATTTATAACCCATGACCATTTCTAGGTTATCATCTATCACCATACCAAATTTCATCAAAATCCGTTCAACCGTTTAGGCGTGAAAGAGTAACAGACAGACAGACAGACAGACAGACAGATAGTGTTACTTTCGCATTTATTATATTATATAAGTATGGATGAGATCTAAGAACTATAATTTATTATAAGAGTATGAGATAAAAACTATAAGATATAAAAAGAGAAATCAAGATTATTCTAATCTTCAAGAAAAGAGCCTTTCTCTCTAAGGCAAGGTACATGTGCTCTATTGTTACAGCTCTCCATGGGCGGCACTGATCGCTTACCATTCGATGATTCGTCTGTTCGTTTCAAAGGAACATATTTTTGAGTTTCTGGACTAACGAGCAAGTGTAGAAGTAAGTAGTACTTACCATTCACGCCCATACTCTTTGTGCCATTTAGGATATTAAGAGTAGCGCAAGACGCATGACTATTGTCTTTGATCTCCAAATCAACCACTACATACTTGACATTCAGTCTAGATTGTATAGTGTATATTCCGTCTTGAGGGTCTATTCTTGATATGTTCGGTGGGTGTCGGTCTGTGGACAAAAGTATTAAAACCTTGAACTATTTGCTTACACTTAAGTTGGCTTGAAAAAGTATCAAAATCTATTTAGATTTAGTCCGTCAGTTAGGTAAGGAATCCAAATGTGTCGGGGTGCCTAAAAAATGTTGTTAGAAGATTTAGATTTACTTAAAGCAATTACAAGTAATTTAAGATTAGTTTAACTGTTTTCTAGTTCAAAATATATCATCTAAACATATTAAGTAAGTACATCAAATGAACATTATAACTTTTGATGATTAGCGCAAATTTCTGTCAAACGATATTATACTAAGTGATGATTTTCATAAACGTTGTTCGATTTAGTAATATTAGGTACCTATATCAAATGTTGTTCGACCAAACAAGGGTGAACCGTTTTTTATTTGTTCATACCTATAAAACAATACTCAGATATATAACGAATCAAAGTTTAGGAGTGGGGGTTATCTACGTCATTTCTACATACAGAACGTACCTAGAAGTGACGTCAAATTTCAAATCAAGACATCATCGAAAGTACCTATTATTTGTTTCCGTAAGAAGATAAAAAGTACATGTGTAATATTTTCAAATATACTTTCTTTTTTATGGCATAAGCCGGTAAACGAGCAGACGGATCACCTGATGGCAAGCAATCGGAGTCGCCCATGATCACCAGAGGCGTTACAGGCGCGCGTTCGGCGCCCAAACAGGGGCGCCGTAGAGGGCCATGGACCGCACGACCCCGGCGTATAACCTCCGGCAGGAGGCGTTGGGCCTCCGGTAACCTCACTCAAACGACGAAACACAACGAAAGCGTTGCTTCACGTCAGTTTTCTGCTCGGCCGTGGTATCACTCCGGTCGAGCCGGCCCATTCGTGCCGAAGCATGGCTCTCCCACACTTATTTATTTATTCATATTGCACAATGTACACACGGCTACACAACGAGCTTTACATAACCAGTATAAACTGAACGTTAAATGTGCGGAAAGATGACGCGACGCGACACCAGGATAAACTGGTTTTGTAGAGATTGATGTGTGGCCGTGTGTACATATAATTACATACAACTAATTCAGTACATTACCCTGTTAGGGCGCAGCAATTTAAAACGTTACAAAATGTAATGTCAGCTGAAATTTATTTATTTCTTAGAGCTATAACTATACCTATATATTAACTGGTCTATAGTTAGTACAATGCAGATGGATACTAACCTGTTTGCACGTGAAGCAGATACTGTGTGATATCGGGAGGTACATTTTTCAGTACAATATTTAATTTTAAGATCTCGTTCGTCAAATATTTGAACCTGACGGGACTGTTCAGATCTGTAAGAAGAAAAACTTGACCTTTACGTAAGTGCCGAGATTGTTTCTATGCTGTGCCTTTACCCAAACGCCACTTTAGCGCTTGTCTACAGAGAGAGTAGAAAACTAAATGTATGGATGGGGATGTCACTGAAAAGTGTCAAAATTTACGTCAATAGGGTAGTTTCCTAAATTTTATTTTAATGTCCGTCTGGTCGTTACATTAATTTAAAACATTAGACACGTATTTTTTCTTTTCTCACAAAATTAAATATTTTCAACGATATATTAATTTGAGTATATAAATTTTGTCAGTGTCATCCCCATACATTTAATTTTCTACTCTCTTTGTAAACAGGCGCTAAAGTGGCGTTTGTCTAAAGGCACAGATGTAGTAATTTCTAGGTAGCATTTTTGAATAACGCGTGGCTATCAGCGCGCACGCTTCCCAGAAGTTCACATTTCTCGGCTGTCAGCGCCGACGGTCAGCGTGGGGTCAGCGCGACACTGAAACCAGCCTAAATACGCGCCACACTGCGCCTCAGCGCTGACAAAGTAAGCTATGAACGTTGACGGTGGGCGTGAGACTAAAACCAGCCATAGTGGGTATCATTGTAGATATTATTATGTTAGAGACACACATACTTACTGCTCCATACATTAACCATCAATGTTGTAAGAAGAAATAGTTGAAAACTGATCATATTTGGTAATTTCCTTCGTCTGACGACGTTCTGTAGCCGGCAGTGAAGTCAGGTCTACCTGTGGACAAAATTGTCATCGTAAACAGCAGCTCACGTAGTGTAGATGTCCAGTCAACAAGGATGTAGCGAGGTTGACTGTCCATGCGACACACGTACTTAGGTATCGTCATGTGCTAATGTTCTCATGTAAACAGCAGCTCATGTAGTGTAGATGTCCAGTCAACAAGGATGTAGCGAGGTTGACTGTCCAGGCGATACAAGTAAATTCATAATAGAAGACTAGTTTTTATTATAATGTCCGTCTGGTAGATTATTTAAAAACATTAGACACGTATTTTTAATTTTTTTACATAATTAATTACGTACTTACGACGATATATTGATTTCAAATATCGCATGACGTCACTTTTGAGTACGATTTATACTCTAAAATGACGTAGCTACCTCCCACCCCTAAACTTTGATTCGTTTTATCTAAGTATTGTTTTATTATACGACAAAATAAAAAAATACGTGTCTAATATTTTTTCATTACCTAACTGACGGACTAATTAGATTATTTACCGAGTTCAAAAAAAAGGAGGAGGTTCTCAATTCGACCATATATACCTTTTATTTTTAATTTTTATACCCTGTCATCATCCCTATTACTGAATTGTGTATGTGAACTTGTATGTTTGTAAACGCACCCACGACACAGGAGACAATCCTAGTGTGGGGCAACGTTTAAAAAAAAAACATTGGTGTACAACTATTAAATAAAAATATAACAGGAAATTGCAATGTTAAATACTTATATTTCACAGCAGGATAATTACATTTTCCCTAAATTTTACACTAAACTACAGTTTAAAATAACTGATAAAAATTACTGTTAAATACTATTACACTATACATAACATCACGACTTTTATCCCCGAAGGGGTAGGCAGAGGTGTACATTACGGCACTTAATGCCACAGTTTACTGTAACACCCACTTTTCACTATTTATGAGTCCCGTGTAATAGGGGGTGAGTCTACTGCATATTAGTATTATTATTGGACCATTAGTATTAAACCGTAACTTGTGGAAAACTCCAAAGTCACTACAATTGAATTTCAAACGCACTTGAATTAAAATGATCATCAACAGCCTATAAGTGTTCACTGCTGACCAAAGACCTTCTCATACGGAGAAGATTTGAGCATTAATCACCACGCTTGTTCAATGCGGGTTGGCACATGAATGGATACCATTAATAACATAAATGAGTACATTTTTTTATTGCGACTGACTGACAAGTGTGACTGCCGGGCAAGGGGTCTCGAGTTCGATTCCCGGGTCGGGCAGAGTATTACTGGGTTATTGAAAAAAATTCTCAGTAGTAGCACGGAGCCTGGTATTGTGCTCGGTATATGGCAATAGGCTTACCGCCTATAACATGGTACTCGTAACATAAATAGTGAAAAGTGGGTGTTACATTGTACAGTGGCATAATGTGCACCTCTGCCTACCCCTTCGGGGATAAAAGGCATGATGTTATGTTATGTTATTTTTTTATAATTTTACATATTAATTCTCTACGGACTCTTGGTCCATGTCCTTGTCATACAATTTTTTAGTACAATACATCTAATCAATTTTTATAAAGTTTAGAAGGTACCTAGTTACACACTACAATAGGGATGATGACAGGGTATAAGAATAAAAAATCTAATTAGTCCGTCAGTTAGGTAATGAAAAATATTAGACACGTATTTTTTTATTTTCTTGTATAATAAAATGATACTTAGATATAACGAATCAAAGTTAAGGAGTGGGCGCTAAAACGTCATTTCTACGTATAAAATGTACATAGAAGTGACGTCACACGACATTTCAAATCAATATATCGTCGAAAGTAAGAAAATAAATAATACGTGTCTAATGATTTAAAATAATCTACCAGACGGACATTGAAATAAAAATAGGCACTCCTCTCTATGTAAAGCTTTTTGCGGCCAATCCTTGTCATAGATGTCTAGTTCGTCGTAATTATTACTAAAAGTATAAATTAAATTAGTACTTACCCGCTCACCATTACGAATTAAAATAAATATTAAATTTGAACAAATAAAATATTATATTTTATAATCAACACACACTTTCAGGCTCAATATATTACACAAGGGAGACACAAATGGTCACTAAACCGCACTGAATTATTTAGTTTTATAAAATGAATTTCAATATAGTAACGTATTTGGGAACAAGTATATCGATTGTTGTCAAATTAAGCTTCAGTTCCAAATAAATTGTATTTATTTGGTCAACATAGCACTACATTAACTAATGCTATTAATAAAACATGTTTCACTGTGGTTGCAAAGTGATTTGTTATTATTTTCCCTGTATCGTCCATTGTATGATTCATTGCGGTTTGTACATAATATAACATAACATCACGCCTTTTATCCCTGAAGGGGTAGGCGGCAGAGGTGCACATTTCGGCACTTAATGCCACTGTACCATGTAACACCCACTTTTCACTATTTATGTTTTGAGTCCCATGTAATAGGGGGTAAGCCTATTGCCATATACCGGGCACAGTTCCATGACTCCGTGCTACTACTGAGAATTTTTAAAAACCCAGTAATACTTTGCCCGACCCGGGAATCGAACCCGAGACCCCTTACCCGGCCAGTCGCAATTGCGACCACTCGGCCAATAAGGCAGTCAGGCATCTGACCACTCATCTGACATAATTTTGACAAGTGAGTGTCATGACAATGGATCGTTGACCATTTAGTATTTTATTAGCATGTTGATTACAACAGTGAGATATGCAAAGAGGCTGAATACTAATTTTATTAATCATTGAACCTATTTGATTCAAAATTTGCCAGAAGTCGCGGGGAACAGCTAGTAAGTAAGAAGATGAAATACTTTCAGCAGTTTTGAAGTCCATCACGCACTAGACGCGGTAGTGACTAAGATTGATTTAATAAATATTTGCGTCGTAGAAAACGAAGTATTTTCCTTATAAAGCTATTTATTTCTAATTATTATTTTGTTGTATTTACTTACAATTAGTTCATAGTGCGCTCAAGAGACGTGAAGACGACATTATGTTGATTTGTCTTTATTATTTTCTGATTTTAATTATACAAATATACGCGGGGATAGTCAAAGGTAAGTCATCATTATCATAACATCACGCCTTTTATCCCCGAAGTGGTAGGCAAAGGTGCACATTATGCCACTGTACAATGTGACACCCACTTTTCACTATTTATATTATGAGTCCCATGTAATAGGGGGTGAGCCTATTGCCATATACCGGGCACAATTCCAGACTCCGTGCTACTACTGAGATTTTTTTTTTAAAACCCAGTACTACTTGCCCGACCCGGGAATCGAACCCGAGACCCCAGGCCCGGCAGTCGCACTTACGATCACTCGGCCAACGGGGCAGTCAAAGTATAGTATAATCAAAATCAATGTTTTCCGAAATACCAGACTCTTACTGACTAAAAACCACCCCGTTCCTACTTCTGCACTTCGAGCCGGAGCCCCGGTAACCCGTTAAGTCCTCCGCGGCTCCGTATCGTCATCCGCCCTGTTGGGCCCCATCTGTGGTGGTCTGATGGCTCCTTGAGGCGCACGCGGAACGCGACCCGCCGTACGCTCGGGTCTAGTTCTAATAGGGCGGCGAGTCACCCATGCTCGCCGTCCGCAGGCCCGTGCTTACAGTCCCAGAGATCGTCTCGCGATCCCTGACGCCCGGAGTGTTCCTCGCGACGGCTGGAGCATGAGAAAGCTCGTTCCCTCACGCGCTCCACCTCCTCCTTAGCTAGCATGACTGCTTCGCAGAAGGAGGAGACGGCAGCCCAGTCCCCCTCGCTCCGTACCATGGTCTGAACTTAGGTCTAAGTGTTCATCATTCAATGACACTCATGCTGAGCATAATATGAGTATTGTATTCAATTAAATCAAGTATTTTTTATTAAAAGCCTTCCGCGTTCATGTTTGACTAGGTACATACAACTAATGTTATACATATTATGCATGTTTTCCTCGTCATTTATAAGCCCACTATGTTGAAATACATAATTTGAAATTATTTACAATTGTTATAATTATTTGCCTGTTAGTTCTTATGATGGACGTTTCAGCAAATAGTAGGTTTTGAATTATGAACAGCATTGTATACTGACTAACCACTTTCGCACGGTTTCACCCCTTACCACAGATATAGATCTATATCTGTGTCTTACCTATTAATCGTAGCGTGATGTTTCATAGCCTATAGCCGTCTTCGATAAATGGACTGTCCAATACAAAACGAATTATTCAAATCGGTCCAGTAGTTCCTGAGATTAGCGCGTTCAAACAAACAGTCAAACAAACAAACAAACATTTTTCGGATTTTATAATTCTTAATATTATTCAGTTTTTATGTAATAAGTTAGTGGCAGGAAGACGGCAAGTCCTGTAAAGACCTTAATTCAACAACAGTGTCTCGTGATCAACACATCAAACGCGTTTGAGAGGTCGCAGAAGACGCCGAAATCATCTTGTAGGTAATTCCTCCCAAGCACCAAATATTTCCTCCATTACAATGACACCAGCGTCAGTTGTACAACGATGAAGTGTGGGAGAGCCATGCTTCGGCACGAATGGGCCGAGCAGAAAACCGACGTGAAGCAACGCTTGCGTTTCTTCGTGTGAATGAGGTTACCGGTGGCCCAATTACCCTCCCCTTCCCCAATCTCCCCAATCCCTAAATCCCCAACAATCCTCAAACTCCTAGTCCCGACCAAAAGGCTGGTAACGCACTTGCAACGCCTCTGGTGTTCCAGGTGTCCATGGGCGACGTCTGCTCGTTTACCGGCTTATGCCATAAAAAAACCTTAAGTGAAACCGTATTGTTATTGGTAAAGATATAATGTTTGTTAACATGATGGAGCATCCGAGACAGCATTAACTTTTCAAACAGACAGATACAGGCCTATAATTATTGGATTCTTTAGTATCACCACTTCTGAAAAGCAGGATAACTATGTTGTATTTCATAACGTCAGCCAAGACAGCGTAGTCTATAGTTTTATTGAAAATCAAAGGCAAATATGGAGCACTTATTGTGCACATGATAGCAAATGAACGCACTTTAGCACGCGGTGGTTGGGCAACTGACTGCCGCGCAACGTGTCGCTCGTCGATCCAAAGATTCTTGTTCCGGGTCTGGGTGTCATGTATATGTGAACTTGTATGTTTGTAAACGCACTCACGACACAGGAGAAAATCCTAGTGTGGGGCAATGTTTTTAAAAAAATAAATGAAGTCGTTGGTAGAAGCTAGCCAATTTTAAGACACGTTTTTATTTTCAGGTCCTGATTCGACTCTCATTATAACAAGAGTATTGTCATTAACTTCCGAAGTCGAGACGATTGGCTATCACCAGTGGCATCACGATTATGACATAGGTAAGCAAACCGATTATTAAATGTGGACTATCGTTGTAGTACTCACTAGATGGCGATAATGAAGCATGGTTTGGTGTCTATCTAGTAACTCCCCATGTCGCGGAGAACCTAACGGGTTTACCGGGGCTCCGGCTCGACGTGCAAGAGAAGGAACAGGGTGGTTTTTAGTCAGTTAGAGTCTGACACTCCCTCCCGCCTCACCCAAGCGGGAGAAGTCATTCGATGATTTTCCCCCCTTAAAAAAAAGTAACACCCCATACTATTTATTTTTTTAATATTTTCAATGTAGGTACAGAATTTACACTTGTACTCAAACTCAAACTCAAAAGCATTTATTTCAATTAAACCATAATTTGGTACTTTTGAAACGTCAACAAATATGA